TCAGTGATCATGGTTCAGATGGACAGACTGTGATTCAGCTAGAGCACAGTAACCCACAAACTTGACTCAGATTTAAGGGCTCTTCAAAGATGGGCAGCCAAAACTCAGCCTACATGAAAGGCTGCTTCTGGAAACAGTTTGCTCAATGCAAGAAATAAGGCAACTGCACAGATGGAATAAAACTGAGGACTTGCTTCCTCATTCTGCCTGCAAGAATCTACCCTTTTATTTCTCCATGAGCATTATAACTTGCATCTTCGACAGGCCAGGACTGCTACGTAAAAGGACATTAAAGAAAAAAAAAAATTATAAATACGTCATGATCAAGCTTACTTGTATGTATCGCCTAGACATTTGGACTCCTGAATTTCCCCTATTGCTTTCCAGTAGTCCCCCAATTACTTCCCAAGAACTAACCCCTCACCTCCATTACTTTCTAGGAGTTTCCTGTGCTGCTTCCCGACAATCCCCACACTGCTGTGTAGGGCTGCAAAAGACCTCCCCGCAAATCCTGGCTTTTCAGGAAAACCTCAACTCTACTTTCTAGGCTTTCCCTCAGTTTTGTAGGAATCCCCTTGCCCCTCCAAATTGCTCTGGGTTTCCATGAATTCTTTGTGCTGCTTTCTAGGACTACTATGGATCACTTCCTTCCCCACCCCCTGGTTTCAGGGAATCTAATTTTCTCTCTGGGACTTCCCCCTTTTCTATTTTGTAATGAATATAATTTATTTGTATGGCACCAGGAAAAGTACAATAATCCTTTTTACTGGTTCCCCCCTTATGCTATTTAAGACCTCTAGCAAGAGGTGGGTCTGTGATTCACAGTGTAATGAATGTTCATAAAATTATGTAATACTGCAAGGTCACTGTTAACGCACATATATGCCTTTCCAAAATTGATTCTAGTCACTTTTATTGTTGCGAAATAATCAATTTCATAATTTACTTTACAGTAAATTGTGCTACCCCACTAGACATAAGCAAGTATTACATTGGTTACTTAAGGAAAGATGCTGGAGTCCATTGGCTTATTGATCTTACAGTAGAAACCTCAAGCGCACAAAATTTTTTCTTCAAGTTTCAGGAAGATGTCCACCCAAATGAAAAAAAAAAACACAACCCCACAACCCAAAACAAATGCAACCGCCAGTGACAGAGCCCTCAAGTCTCTAATGAAAATGAAAAAGGACTGGAGCTAGTGGTATATATAGAAGTTCAGTAGAACATGAATAGAAGAATAGACAGAATGAATAGACAATCTGATGAGATTTATCTGCTATAAAACTTTGAGATCAAATTTAAGTCCTGATCTTCTAATGAATGAGAATTGCCTACTACACACAAAAAGTTATGTCCACTTTTTCCTAGAAATTTCATGAAAAGCCAAAACTGCTGGAGGCAGCCTCCTAAAACTACTGTTAAAAACCAGGTAATTACAGCATCACTTTTTTTCCCAAGATTATTTCCAGAGTAACTTCATCTCTAATACACACATCTGCAAGTCTATGTGAGAAATGCAGAACTACATATTCAACCTAAACTGTTACTCCAAAATACAGTATCATTAAAACAGAAAGGAACAGGGTGTTTAACAAACTGTAAAATGTTTTGACTCAAAGTGTTGTACAGCAGATGGAGCTACAAGTATGGTCTATGAACAGCCACCTACACATGAGAACACACAGAGATAATAAACATACATAATGCATCCCATCAAATGATTATCTTGAACAACTCTTCTTTCTACTGCAAAATGACACACAGAAATTCACTTCTGTGAACAAAAGTGCACAACAAAGCAGCACTCCAAGCTTACCCTCACCAAAGATTGAAAAGAAACAAACGTCATCAGCTTGCAGTGCTCATTCAAATGTCATTTGAAAGCTCAATTTCTTATTTTGATCAATATCTGCAATTATGTCATCCATGTTCCTCTTAAGGGAAGACAAAAGCAGGACAGGGATGCCTGTCATCTTCATCTGAAGTGTGGGGACTGGGAAAGGACATGTTATTTCACCATACCCTGACAAAAGTAAGAATCAGTTTATTTCAAACAAGATCACATGTCCATCCATTACCACACTTCCCAAGAAAACTGCGACACCCTTATCAGAAACAAATGCACTGCAAGAGTTCCACAGGTTCCCCTCCACCTCCTCTGCGTTCCTCTCTCCCCAAAACAGTCTATCTGGCTGACCAGCCGGACTATGCACGCCAGATCCGGAACTGTTCCCAAGTGCAGAATGGCTTTATTTAGCAGAGGAGAAAGTCAGTTTTCCAGATGAAATCTTTCCAACATCAGCTCCACAGCAGAGTAGAAACATTAATAAATTTTAGATTAAGCACCTACCTTCTCTTCCTTCCCCTTCACAGAAATAAAGGACTTGCAGGAATGGATGATACAGACTAGAAACATTTGCTAATTCCCTTTTTTCCCCTACTAGCTACGAAGTGACCAAAAAGAAGTATATGAATAGGCCAGCAGAGTTCTTAAGGGTTTTACAATGAAACGTGCAAACTCTTTCCCAGTAGCTCACAACTCCAAGAGCATCCGACCTGACGTTGAATCACTTTACTTTTCTGCCAAGTTGTATTAATTGAGAGCCTCATGCAATTTACACTGGACTGCTGTACACATATGAACATCTTCTCCCCCTCCCAATCATATTTCCTCTCCTTTCCGTCTAGATAAGAATCATGGCAAATTGTGTTTAACACACAGCAAAAAACACAGGTATAAGACAGGACTGCCAAAAAATATCCAACAACATTACCTGTTACAATTTTTCAAAATTTAGATACATCACCACAGACGCATACTATTTTTTAAATCATGCTTTATTAGGAAAAAATCCTTCTTAATTACATAAATACAGATAACGTGTTAAAGGTATTACCTTTTAGGCACTAACTTGATTTCCAATCATAACTTGTACGCTCAAGACTAAACAATACTCCACCTTTAATCATCTTAATAAACAATAAGCTGCTAAAGGTGTAAATTTGCATGATGAGTTCTGAGAACAAGTACCATGTATGACATATTGAAAGTATGATTAAAGTAAAAATTGAGAAGGTGGCATCCATATTTAATATCCTTAAGTAGAAGTTGACAATTCTCTGGCAAGACAGGCTATATTATCTCTCATGAACGCTGCAAAGCTAAGGCATTGTGAGACTCTTGTGATTGTGTTCTTAAAATTGTTGCCTATTTTTGACTATTACGTATCATCAGTGATAAGGGTCATATCCAAATTTGCAATTTGGCCTTTAGATCTCAGTCACTGAACCCCCAAAGCTGTTGTTCCCCTTCAATAGAAAGATTAACTTTGTTTCTTTAGGAAGAAATTCTACTTGAGCTTGCTTCCCAGGCAGCCATGATGTTTGTATTTATAAGTATAAAAAACTCCTTCAGATGTTAACATAAGTCAGCTGCAGTAACATGCCTGAATTCTAAGCTTAAAAGATCTACAGCATCTCTCTACCCAGATGAGATTCTGTTGATAATTCCAAAGACTTTCAGAAGTCCTGTGCAAGTATCTTCTCTAACTGCACACGCTACTTCACCAGTTCAAATTAATTTCTTGCTACAGCCCTCAAAAAACTACTACTTAAATAAGCAGCCACATTCCAAACTAGTTGTTTTCAGTTACTCTACCAAAGTTAGTAACATTACAAAACAAACAAACTAGTTTGGGAATCTTTGTATTAAAATACAGTTTTGCACCTTTGAAGTTCAAATGAGGGTTCTGAGGGAGAAGTTCTGTATTAATCTAGGCAGATATATGCTAACGTAATGTAATTTTTATTTTGATTATACTCACAGGAAAAGGCCAGAATCATCCAATAACCCTTCATCTCATTAAAGAACACACACACAAAAAAAATCTCTTCATACACAGACGCAGGTGATGAAATAACTGACCTAAAATGACTGTACTAAATCAAATATAAAGGAGACTTTCAAGAAGCCAACCAGATGCTTCTAATATAATGTATGCACACTCCCACGAGTCATAGGCCGGAACAGCTTCATCACCAATACTCTCATAATGCTCAAGGATCCAACAGGCACAAGCATTTCTGTAGCAGTGTACATATGGTGAGTGATATAAACATAATAGTACGCATAAAATTTATAAAAAGTACAAACAAATTTTTGGTTTCATTAATAACACAGGAGAGATTTGATTAATATGTTGTATTTTAATCCAAAAACTAAGATATTGAAGGCCTCATTTGTATGGGCAAGACAGTCTCGGTCCCCTCCTTCTCCCCAGCCTCACACATATACATCAAAGGTACAATTCCAAACATTTAAAAGAGTGGTAGTATATCACTTCACATGCTACCTTCCCACTCTCAACCTGGCAAGGACAGAATAGCTTAAAATTCTAGCAGGACAATATAGCTCCAAGACCTCTGTGGAATATTTTTAGAGGCTCAAACAAAATGCACCTTGTCTCCTTTCAGTTCAGAAAATTAAGGACTAAGTTTCATAAACAGATAGCTTAAAGAAAAGTCCATGAAAGACAAAACAAGTCTTGTCCAGAACACTGTTTCACAAATGTCCATAAATATAAATAATGTGGAACTGGGATGAGACCAAGAACAGTGTCCATGTTCTGAAAACTAAAAAAGAAAATGCATGACACCTGCAAATCAGCCACATAGAGAAGGTTAAATATCTCCTTGTCAGACTCTAAAACCTAAGTCATCAATCCTGAAGAACAAGCCACTGTGTCACTGCCACTGTTTGGCATCCAGCATGTACTCTGAAAATCAACATTAAGCAGCTTTGTAAAAGAAACAGCAAAGAAACCATGTCCTAAGTGCCAAAACCAAAACTTACTGAAGTAAAATAAATCTGCATAGCAATACTTTCTGAGAACGCAGTTCCATCAGGAAAATGCTTTTCTTCAGATGAAAATTGATTTTTAATACAATATCAAAAAAGCCTTTATCCTTAGATAAAGATCTTCTATTTTCTCATGTCCCTGTCATGTTAGCTGTTCAGCAATGATCTTCCACAATTCCTGTAGCAGTGGAAAAGATACATACAGGTATTTTCACAGATCAGTAGGTTGCAATTATGAAAAAGTTCAACAGGCCCACTTGAAGACAAGTTTTAAGACACACCCTATATGTCCACCTATAGACAGTATCCATCCACAGATGGATACTAAATCCATCTATGTAATCTCCTAGAAAAAACAGCAAATTATCTTTGAGACAGAGCAATAGAATTGATTTCTTCATTCTCGTAGTATTTTTTTTAAATAAAAAATTAGTATCATTCAAATAATTTGTTTTAAAATAATTTCATTCATCTGCATGACCTTCTCCAGTATTTTGGCTGATAATCTTGCTCTTTTTCTTAGCCTGTGATGACAAACAGTTTCAATAATGCTAGTAAAAGTACAACTGAAAAAAACACTCAGTTTACTGAGGAATCAAGGTCTCACAAATGCATGTCTTATACAAACACACACTTCTCTATCAATGACAATGAAGATGAAAAACAGACCACTTTATTTCTGTAGAATAAATTAGTATATGCTTTGTCTGCTATACAAAAGATTATTAAGCGGACTATCACATACTCTTCACCATGACATCTTGAATTGTGGAAATATACTTCATGATAAATAAAAAACTTAGGCATTTTAAAAATGCATATTTTTCAAAGACCAGCAGCCTTCTGCGAAAAGGCTAGCGACTGAGTTTACACATATAGTTATAATCCAGGTTGCACTTATGCCCTTGTAAAACTTGTTTTAAAGTTTTGTATGCATGTTTTATGCCTGAAGGTATCAGCATTAAGTAAAATAAATCAATCTTGTGGAGTAACTGTGGCCCCTGTAATCTTACTATGCATACATATTGCAGAAGACACAGTAACAGTATGTTGACTACAGGAACATAACTTCTTGGTAAAAGATCTGCAATCCAGTATAAGATTTTGCAAGTTCTCTAAAATGAGCTGTTAGATTGTATTGTTCTAGAAGCTAGCAAGCTATTAGCTACTCTGCATAATATTTGTAAGAGCAAACAACTGGGGGGGGAAAAAAAAATAAAGAGAACCATAAGTGCTTGGGGAGTAATTAGGTAACTACAAATATTATACCCAGCATGTTTGTGAACAACAGAAGTTTACATCTAATAAACTTCTTCACAGATATTAGAACATCATTTCATGAACCCTAAACTGGGAAAGGAATTACTACAACTATGAAATGAAAGCTCTTCCACAAGCAAATAAATGACAAGTGATACTCGTCCCGTTTTCTAGTCAATCACAAAAACTGTATTTTACAAAGTAATGGAGATTACACTAATTTCCTCAAAGGATAAGAAACAATCTAAGCCACCATACTGCTCTTGATAGAAAGGGTATGTTATGTCAATCTAGTATAGATTATGTAAGCACAAACAAGAATAATTTTAGAACAACAAAAAGATAAATGGAAATACATGAAGAGGTAATGTTTATTCTCCTGTTTTTACTTCATGTTAAGAAAACAGCTGAAAACTAATTTGAGATGATTAGCCCAACACATTACATTTATTTTAATTAATGTCACTTACCAACTGCTCAATTCGTTCATAAATTAGAAACTGGCAGAAATCAAGCTTAATGGGCTCCACAGTATATTTCATTTTTCTATCTTGGAGGTTCTCCAAATCATTCAGGGTATTTCTAAAATGACTGTACGCTTCACATGTAACATCCATATGTCTTAAAGTGAAGTTCAGCCTGGCAAGAGAATACTTAATTTAAAATGTCTCTCCTATACTGGCATCTTAAATAGCTACGTAACTTTATTCAGCTACTGGAAAACATGGGTCTTCTCAGTGTAATTAACTGACTTTGACAGCCAAAAAAATAAGATATCTTGAAAGGTGGACAAGACTTACGTTAGCATCAATACATACTAACTCTTGAATGAATCTTTCCATTGATTTTAAGACATTTTACCGAAACAGAATTATTGGCTTGGCTTCCTGGGCAAACACTTGGCAACAAACCATATGTAGCTATTGCTTACATATCTCCAGAGAGTCAAGCAAAGCCTATTTTATATTAGTTTATGAATGGACTGTAACACATGACTACTTAAAAACATTCAATGATTCCTTGAAAGAAAACACTAGAGAAATTGTTATAGAGGTATTCAAGCTGGGAAATGTATACCCTAATTCTAAGCCCCTTCATTCCACTCAATGACCTCAAAAATATATAGCAAGTTGTCAGGCATTATAGAATACATCGGTCTAGCCACCTATTTTCCTTATTTGCACACAGGTTATCTGACACAAGAGAAAGGTAGGACAACAAAAGCCAACTCTCGTGGAAGTCAAATTCTGGACTGATAAAAATTAAGCACATATGAAAACAAATGCTTGCCCTGAGCATATACTGCAGCCTGTGATCAACCAATACAATGAAAACCAGAAGCCAACGTTCAATCAGATCAAATGTTTCTTACAAATGAAGAAAGCATGTACAGCTTTTAGTGTTTTTTATTTTATGTTCTTGGTAATACTTACCTCTTTTCTAATGCGAGGTAAACTGTGCAAGAATTTCTTAAGTTGTGTGTGATTCTATACAGTGTTCTGAACAAGGCATCTGTCAGGTCATCATCATAGAACACTACAAACAATGTTAAGAGCATCAAACATATATTTACTTAAGTCTCACGTATGAAACAAAAATAGGCAATAATCAAATTAGTTTGATTATTCTCATCAAACAAGTCACTATTTTAACTAAAACCCAAAGTATATTTTTAATGGCAAAAACTGACCCTGTAATAGTAGCCACTCCTGCTCTTTATGTCAGGCTACCTTTAAGATTTCTCTCATATCAATGGGAATCACTTCTGTCAGACAGCTTACAACACTGCAACAACATTTCTCTGAGCCTGGAAATATCTTACAGCAAAGCTAAAAAAGACAGGGTATCACAATGTATAGGGCCTCGTTTCTTACAAAAATACAGAAAAGGCTGTAACTAATATAACATTATAACCATATCTCCTTGGAAAGCAGTCTTGCAACACCTTTCAATACTGTAACTAAAAACAATTCTACTTATGTATCAAAACAACAACGGTTTTCCTATACAGATAAGCCAGCCTGTCATTTTGCAATCTTTCACTTAAGCAAGAAAAATAGCAGGGAAAAAAAGACGACAGAGCTATCCAAAGGCATAGACTCTGTGGGCAAGTGTAGCATCTGAAACAGTTTTTCATATTATAAAATATCTTAGTCTAACCACCTATTTATCATTGTTTGCATAGAGGTTATCTGATGCAAGACAAAGGTAGGACAACAAAACCTCTTCTGAAAGTCAAATTCATCACTTCTGATTATGTTCTTTGAGTAATTTATTTAGTCACAAATAATTACCATATCAAAGGAAAGAAAAAGCTAGTACTTTACAATATCTGTTCTCCTATTGCTAATTCAGAACGTAAATACAATAGCTTAAAAAAAAAAAACACCACAGGCAGGAACACTTAAGGCGGAGCTTTGACAAATTAGGTAAGGTTCTGACCTATTAGATTTTAAAAACAAACTAGGTATGTCTAAATTATTACTCATATGCGCAAGCATTTGATTTAAAAGCTTACTGTTTATATTTCCCTACCATCAGCTGCCATTATCACAGTACAGTTGTCATGTAAATCAGCAACCTCATCTTCTGACCAGCTATAAGGAGCTTCAGGATCTGTAACAGAGAATATGGCTTTGGTGTACATGATTAAATATCTCCAGCTGTCAATCATTTGAAAAAAAGAAACTACTTAACTCCTGATGTCACCTGCTACTCCATAAACAGAGCAGCCCACTGAAGGTAAATCAAAACTTTATTAATTCTTTGAAGTTCCCTGCAGTCCTTTGCTTTCTCTGTGTCACATCCAATCCTCCCAAGGCTGTCTAGGAAGAGTAAGTTTTCTTTGACTTTAGAATTTACAACCAATTACTACCCTGTAGCAAGATCACAGACTTAACTAGATTAAAATAAATACTCCTTTAAATAAAAACAAACAAACGCCTCTTCATAAAAGTTTTGATTAAGCTTCCTACTTGATCATGCTTTTTAAAACTTAGACTTTGTTGAAATATCAAACTTGCTCTGAAAGTCTAAAAAACATAAAGCCCTTTCAACTGTCAGTATCAAGTATTTTCATTAACCAGAATTTTCTTAAGTCCAAGAGAGGCTTCTGAATGTGTAAAGGATTTTTCCACTTGCTCAAATAGTTGTTCTATTTTTTAGAAGCATTACATCAAATCCAAGTAATGATGTAAAAAAAATGTATAAAGTATGCTTCATATAACCTAGGGCTACAATTTTGTGTTGCAAAGTTTTAGTGATCTGCTTTACTATCATTAATTATACTTTAAATGTTACTTGTCTGTTGCCTTTATTTTGCTAAAAGCAGCAGAACACATTCCCTTGGCAAATATTTAAAATATAAACACATTCACCACTACATTTGGAAAAATATTTATACATCTTCAAACTATCACCTACCCTCTCCACCACCTTTTGTAGTTTTGTATTCATGTAGTCACAAGCCACACAATACCATCACATCAAGATCTGGTTTACAGGAACTCAAATCCACGTCACTGTGCCTGGATTCCATCATGTCCACGTAACACACACATCTTGTTTGCACGTCTGGACTTTGACCTAAGTAAAGGACAGCCACCACTTGCCTATTCTCAACCTATCAGCAAACCCTTCCTTACTCATTCACATGGCAATGATGCACCCAAAGACAATCATGTACTTTCAACTACTTTTCCAGAGGTGTATGTGCTGGAGAACTTACTTCATAAACAATGGAATAAGCTTTTCTTGACGGCTCTGAAGGAAAAAAAAAACAAAACAGAACACACAACCCTATCTGAAAGGGCCCATTACAACCACTTACCAGTGCAGAATCCATCTTTCAGCCAGTCCAGTTCTTTTACCTTAACCTCCCCCCCTGTGGGTGAAGAAAGATCATGTCAGTCACACACGGCTTTTCAGACAGTACCTACATGAAGGTAAAGAGCCAAAATGTATATTGAAACAAGTGATGAAGATCTATTATGAGGACATATGAAACAAGTAAAGTTGAACTTGTAAATCAAATCATTTACTGTACAAAACCACTTACCTACTCACAAGAGAACAGGATGAACTTAAAGGTCAGAGAGACAACCTATGTTCTCTTTCACATGTCTCACCTGCAAAACACTTCTCCTTTCCAGAGTTCTACCTCTGTCATTTACACTCTGTTTATATGATCCTTGGCACCTGGATATCTGTGATCCTCCCAAGTATCTGAGTGAAACTCACACAAAGACTGTGTAGGAACTACAGCTGTCCTTAAACGACGACCAGAGAAAGAGTAAGTATTTTGCACCTCTCAAAAGGAAGCTGTCCCATTATGGGCCACAGATATTCTGCATCTTTCTTTTTACATGAGTCACTTTTAACCAAGACAAAAATTTAGTTTTGCTTGTAAATATGCTAGGTAGTCAACGACTGCGCTGTTTAATCCCAAAGTAGTTCATATACAGACAATCGCACAAACGCTGACTGTATAGCACTTACTTCCCAGCTCCATCAGGTGTTGGTTTAATGCAACATTCTGCTCACACATGGCCAGAAGATCTTCACCAACATCTGGAAAAAATAATGATATGCAAAATAAGAGTATTTTGCATGGGCTGTGCACACCCCTGACCTCTTAGACTAATACTCTAAGTTTCTCTCAAGCTGATGACATTAGGGAAAATTCAGAGCAACTCTATCCACTGATGACCGCTTCCCTAGTATCATTCTTGCTTTTGTCCTTCAGTACTAAGCTGAGCCACTCCTGAAGAAAGAAGTCAGATCCCTATACCGCCTATTTTAATCTAGGCACACTATCTTGAGTTCACAGCAATGTATCTCGCTTTTAAACTCTTGCGCTTAGAAGTAGTACTGATTTTTTTCTATCTGTTCAGAAAGTTCTTGTTATTTTTCAACAAACACCACAACTTTATACACATTAATAAAAACTTATTAACTAAAACTGAACAGGTGAGGATGAAAATGCCAGGATGGAAGCACTGATTTGTTAAGTTTCATGAAAACATTTAACTGAAAATAACTGCCTTACCTGTGCAATAAACTCTCTTGGCAACTGTTCCCATGATAATGCTTGTAATTCCAGTGCCACCTCCAAGCTCTAGCACCGAGCAACACCTGAATGTGTCCCGCTTAAACAGAATGTAATCAGCAAGAAGAAAGGCTGCACGCCAGACCTGTGGATAAGAGAAGCAGTTAAAACCGAGTAAATTTTGAAGCACAATCCATGAACAGCAAGATTCTACAAGACAGAATACATACTTGTTTACCGACATCGTCTAAGGGGGTTGCCATAGTATGTTCTGTGAAAATGAAAGTAGAGCAGAAATAATTACCTCAAAACGTTGTTCAAATCAAGTTCCATGAGTGGCAAATTTGAAAATCAGGTCATGCTTCCCTTTCAAATATAGAACTAAACACTCTTCATTCTATATAATAATGCTAGATTAATGGCAAAAACCTCACTCCAACTAAGAGGCACTGAATTTCCCATGATATACTATTGCCCAAATCACTTCTGGAGCAAAATGGTAAATTAAAAAAAAATATTTACACTATCACAGTATTGTGTTTGTTGTTTTATCTCCTTTCTCTTAATTACTGTTGTTCCATTTCTAAAGAAAACCTATTTTTCTTTTGTTTTATACAAACATATTTATTCCATTTCTCCTTGATTGTAAGCCTACTATTTACCTATTTTAACAACGTCACTGCAAGCACATTCTTGTTGTTCATCTTCAAAAGCATCTTCTTCTCCTTTCATCAGAATTACAGGATACACTCTATCCCTCAAAAGATCCTCTGCTTCTAAATCAGAGGTGCTTCGAGGTCTTCTGACCACCTCCAAGTCTCCGTCATCATCTAGCAGAGCTTCTATGCCTTCACTATTTAATTCTCTTTCTTTTTTTAGATTATTTCTGTCCTTGTCACAAAGTTCATCTCCACTTTTGTACTGGTGTTCTCTTTCTGCTGTAGCTTCTTTCACATGTTTCTCAGATGCCAAATCTTCTGTGTTCCAAAGGAGTTTGAAATACGACAGGAATACTGCAAGAACACGAAGAGAGGGGCAAAAAAAGTTAAACAACAGGTAAGAACAGAATCTATGCAGAACTTTCACATGCATGAATTTTGGTGTGCATTTCACATATTAAAAATCTAGAGGATAAAAAAATTATACAGATAACTTGAAATATAGTTCCATTTGCTATGAAGAAATATTTCTGTTATTAAGTTCTGTCAGTAAAAATAAATGAAGCACTTCTAGAATCTACTGGCTGACTCAGCATCTATGCAGTCACAATGCACACTTTCATCCGATTTAGTAAAACTTATTTTATAACAGCTGGCAGAAGGGGTGGTTTCTTAGATCCTCCAGAAGATCTTCTGTTGGGACAGGCTCAAACCAACTTGAAAGAAGAATTAATACAAGTTCGAATTCGTCTCTTTTGGTTAAGATTTAATTCCTACCTTATAAGAAACAAACATGTTCTAGTAAAAAGCAAGTAGGATTTCTTTTACTGTTTTAAAAGTCTTGAGGAATTCAAGCAACATCAAGCCTTGAAATCAGCTTAGCATGAGTAAGCAGGAAGAAGCTCACAGGAGACAGCTTGCCAAAGCTGAACATGGATGCTTTTTTTTTTTTTTGGAAGTCTTTGAACTGAGTATTTGACGACATTAAATTAATAAGGCCATTGTCCTCAGTAAAGCAATTAATTAAAAACCTTCTGCAACCATCATCCAGTGATGTCAGCATCTATTAAAAAAGTTTAAGTTATCCAAACATGGACCTTACAATTTTAATTAGAGGAATCTGTATTGTCTGAATACAACACATAAGGAAGAACAAACATTTGTTCTTCCATCTATAGTTGATCTCAACTCTACAGCAGTGCTTATGCACTGTGCTTGACAGAACAGGCCAGTCACGGAACGCAGAACCATGGAATTCAATTCACCTATTCTGGTACAAAATCAGTATTTGTAGACATCTTAGGCTGGGTACTATTATTCCACAATTACACACAATGTGTTGAGAATTGAGAAGAAGATACCCAAGAATACAACTAGTGAAAAAGGTCAATACCAGCAGGATTCTAAGAAGAATGTCTAGAATTATGCTTATTCACACCAAAAGGGAAGAGATAAAGTGCTTGCCACCATTGTTTGGAATTCTACTCCAGTTTCTTTAGAAAGCAAGATATTCAAAGTTGGTCTACTGTAACCTGAGAGAAGTTCTTCTCTAGAGGCCATTTTCAGCTAGATCTAATAAAATCTTCATTGCCTATCCTAGCAGGAGAAATTTTTAAAGACATCTACTGTTTGCATGACAACCAGATTCAACTGATTTGAATATTTAACAAATTAGAGGATGCCATCAATGAATGAAATGCTTTTGTTCTCCAAGTCCATTCTGACCCTCTGCACATTCTTTGGCATTTCAAAAGGTGCGAGGTAAAACTGACCTAAAGCAGCAGAGACTAAATCCCAATGAGGTTCCCTAAAAAACAACGAAGGGGCAGCGGTAGATTGTCTTCCTATTAGAGTAAAATCTGTCATACTACAATCCAGTTATTGTCTTAATAAACAAAGGAATTTCCCTGAACAAGTACATTCAGAGTAGGTAGCACATGCTGCCATGTCATTCTGTTGAAAGGTTCTTTGCATTAAGCAAAATCACAGAAAACAAATGTCGAACAGCATGAAGACACACCACAGCATTAATTACCTGTTTTTGACCTGATTATGGTCAAAATTATTATCCACTTCTCTGTCAAGCCTACTTTTATAATTTTTTACATTGTTACATGGTAGAACAGCTGCAAAAGTTATTCTTTTTATGTCACAACTGGGTTTGAAAAAACAGTTAACACTTCTGTCACAGCAGGAGCAGTACTTTTCTACAGATATTTTACCAGCAGCTTCAAGATCAGTTTTCCTGACTTTATAGAAACCTACAGGCTGACAGTCAGTCAGAGGCATTTGCCAATTCATTTCCACCACAGCCTTGACTCTTCAAATTATAAAAGTCAGTCAAAATCATTGCTATTCTGAGTTTTCTTGTTGCCAATTTTTTAGTAACAACAACAACAAAAAAAACCCAACCAAAACCACAAAGCTGTTAGGCTTCTCTAGAATAGACGGTAAATCACCACATAAAGATTGTCTAAGAATTCATAAATTAATTACTGATAATTTTTATTTTAAACTGAAGTTACACTATTTAAAAAGCCTCACCTTTTGTTTGTATGCAAGAGACATCCCAACTTTTTAACATGATTCCCAAGTGTTATATTGAGATTATAGCTAAATGAACAAATAAATAAATACATACAATTAAACCTGCAAGCAAGTCAATTTGGCTACTTCTTCTCAGAAAGTAATTTAAAATTTCTTTTTTAAGGTAGGCTGTCTACAAATTCTACATTAATAGTTTTCATTTCTGCAGTTAATTTCATGAGGAGAATCCAGCTAGCCCTCTTCCTAAAGACCGAGTAGCAAGGGATTCTGTTTCTAACTGAAATATGTAATGACTACTATCAACCATTAAAAGGAGGATTCAGACGTTAAAAAAAAATGAATACACTCAAAACACAGCTCCATCAGTCTAAACATATATTACCTGGTTGTCCAACTGCATTCAATCGTACCATGAGATGTCTTTTGTTTGTACAGTGTAAGTGAACATCAGACAGTACAGTGTCACTTTTAAAGGTGGGGTTATCCATCTCCTTCTCTGTTACATCTACCATGATGTGCTGGTGAAAGGAACATCTACAGTACCCAAACAGCCCCCTATGAGCTGTCACAACGTGATTTGATACTCTTCTATTAACAAGTATCAAGCAACAGTCTTGCTCAGCAAGACAACCTCATGATATAGTTTCTGGAGAAGACCTCAGGCAAGATGCGATCAGGCAAGCTCCACCATGCTCCAGTAAGACAGCAAGCTGCGTATCAACCTAAACCCAAGAACAGACAGCTTTTTAGTGACATCCTGACACGGTCTGAACATTGCTCCAGCAATATTTTAGAAGATAAAAATCAGATTACACTGTCCAATAAAGTTGCAATGCTCCATGCTCTCTTTTACAATACTCCAAAGAATCATCAAATACATAATTGCTAGTAGCTCACTGGCAGATTTCGCGTATTTTACAAAGAGCTACTAATTATCTTGTGTTAAAAACACTCCCCACGACGTAACAGATGTTACCATGAATGCACAAACTTACAATGCTAAGTCAAGGTCTTCAACAGAACATAAGACCTTGCATGCACAACTCCACCATTTTAAGGGATTTTGTTCTTCACAGGAATCTCTGAATTTTCTCAGAAATGGAGACAATTTCCAAATGTATTATCATAGGTTAGTTCCCCAAACTTTGTAAAAGGAGTATCTGCCCTTCCTGGAGAAAATTCAGCTCCTTTTATATGCCTCCACTAATTGGGCAATTAATGTCTCTTATCTTTAGTGCTCTTCACTCTTCCCCAGGAAAAAAAAAATACAAACACCTGAAATCATCCTCATTACCTAAAGTCCAAGACCAAGTTGTCTCTCTGTCCTAAGGCACAAACAAATTAATTACCTCTTATGAACAGAAAAATAAAGAGGACATTTATTTCTCTATGCTCTACAAAACTTGACATTTTGTGAAGGGCACGTGAAACACTGACGAACCATAGATCTGAAAACAAAATTTATGTCTTTAAAAATGGAGATGACAAGCTTAGATCACAAGCACACAAATCATCAAACATTATATGAATGATTTAGTTACAAGAGATACCCAAGTCTCACTAGGTATAAGCACCCCTAATACTCCTTATATAAACATTTTTGATGTCATTTCCTATGTTGGCATTAAAATCTTGGGAGATTGTACTTGAACAAGGACATAAGTATATAAGCTTAAAATGCTCCAACCCATACAGACAGCCTTCACAACTTTACTTATGAAGTTGTATTAACTT